TTATTTGATGTTGTGTCTTCTTCTTCGCTCAGGAAGGAGGGCTCCAGAGCAAACTAATTTATGCAGCAGCCAAATCGCTGGCTCACAACTTTAATGCCAGTAGCTCACCGAGTAGAATTTTTGCTCACAAGACTCCGCAGCTTAGAGGGAGCCTTGCTCCAGACCACAGAGATCAGTTCTCCTGGAGGAAACGGCTGCTTTGGAAGAGGGATTCTATGGGCTTCTACGCCACTGAGGTCCTGCCCCACCCCAAATCCCACCCTCCCCGGCCTCCACCCCAAAATCTCCAGGTATTTCCCAACCCAGGATTGGCAACTCCACTGTGAGATCATCTTCAGACCCTTCTGCAACATTGCAACAGATGTCGGGGCCGCCTCTCGGTTCACATGAAGGAAAATGTCCCCTGGATCTCTCTTTCTCTACAAATCTCTCTTGCTTTCTTAGGAGACCCTGGGCGTGTTGGACCTAAAAGGTGAAATCGCCTCGTTCGGAAGCCTTTCCTCGGGACGCCGGGATGGCCGCCAACAGCGTGACGGATCCCGAACGGGAAGTGCTTCAGTGCCGCATCAACCAGGTTGCCAATGAGGTAGGGAAGAGAGCGGACCCCCCCCCCCAAATGAGCATCCCTGCACACGCTTAGGGCTGCCAACCTCCAGGTGGGTGTCTCAATACACAAACACTCCATGTAAAAATTACGAACAGAAGTAGAACGAATATACTATCCATATCAGTTTTAACAGTTCAAATCAATTTCCACAAACACTCTTATATTTTCTAAAAGGGTTAGGGTCCAACAGTACTTAATACAAAGGACAAAATCCAAATAAAGTCCACGAATCTTTTGTATGAGACGCTTCAGGAGAACTAAAGTTCCACAGGAGAACAAAAGTTCCACATTTGTAGGCGGAAGAGCTATGCACGGCTTGCTCCAGTACCGCGTTCGCTTCCCGCTTGTTCAGATAGCTGGTACTCTTTTAGCTGTGAAACTGAAAGTATATTTCTAGGCAGGGGTCATTTGGTAGAAAAAGAGGTGCAGGAACTCATTAGCATAATTTATTAACATAACTTATTTGCATATGCCACACCCCCTGGCATCACCGGAAGTGTGTCAGAAGGCAACACCCACCGCTCAGGCTCCACTGGACTCTTTTGGATTGCTAGCTATTGGGAGGGGAGGAATGTGCAGATCTGCCCTCGCAGAGGAGGGAGAGCTTGCACCTGAATAAAACCTGGTCTTAAAGGTGCCACTGGACTGTTTTGGATTGCTAGCTACGGGGGGGAGGGGGACGTACAGATCTGCCCTCACAGAGGAAGGAGAGCTTGTACCTGAATAAAACTTGGTCTTAAAGGTGCCACTGGACTGTTTTGGATTGCTAGCTGTGTGTGTGGGGGAACGTGCAGATCTGTCCCCGCAGAGGAGGGAGAGCTTGTACCTGAATAAAACTTGGTCTTAAAGGTGCCACTGGACTGTCTTGGATTGCTAGCTGTGTGGGGGGGGGAACGTGCAGATCTGTCCCTGCAGAGGAG